TATAGTCCGCCACCCGCTTGTCTCCATGGAGCTGTCGTTGCTTTCCTTGAAATGTTCCACTGCATTGACAAAATTTACTGAAGCGGATATCTGCTGCCAAGTATCGATTCAGCCAATATCCTGGTTGGACATTTAAACTGATGTAATGAAACTATTTACTGGTCATAGCTGGCCCAGAAAGTCTCAGAGTGTTTGAACTTTTATTTACACAAAATTGTTTAGCAGTTTCTGGGGATAAATAACAGCTATGTCTTATTTTATTTTTGTTTAAATGACGTATATGATGTTTTGTCTCTGGACTGATTTTGGGTGAGATTAGGAATTAGCAGATACATAAAGCTATCGTATCGGAATCGGTATTGGAACCATAGCCTGTTAAAGAAGTGGACTAAGGCAATGTGATGTCACCCAAAGCGTTCAGCTCCATTCAAATGAGCTGAATCCAGTCTTCATAGTAGGAAAAGGAATTCATTAACGGACAAAATAAAAAAATAAAAAAACAGGATCATGTCAGACCAAAATGATGAGGCTCACAGCAGCAGTTAAAGAAAGAGGGCTTACAATATTTCAGTGCAAGTCAATTGGAGACAAGGTGCTGGAAGTGCCTCCATTTTCACTTCCTATTTGGAACTCAGTGGCTTAGGGGTTAACTATGTCCATTTATATATACAGAAAGTGAAAAACCTGGACCGCTGCATGATGAATCCCTCTATTGTTAAGTATAGACTAACAATGGGGATATTGTAAGAACCTGGTAAACTGATCACAAAGAAGAAATATAATGCAAAAGGACGTCATGTGCCCTTGGGTGAAGAAACTCCACACAGAACATGTAATTTATATACGTATATACGTGTCTATAGTGGAGTGTAGAGCAGGAGCATTGCACTGTGTCCATGAAAGCCTCACAGTTTGTGCAGAGGAGGCAGGCCTCAGCTGGCCGCACAAAGCAGGGCTGACAGGGAGATTGTGCTCGACCTCTCCACTCACCCAAAACATGATAAAGCCCTGCGCTTTCTCAAAGGGGAGAGTCACATTGTCTGGATGACTTCTAAAACTCTACACAGCAGTCTATGTCACCCACCCGCACGCACACGCACACACACACACACGAGAACATACACACGCACACGAACATACACACGCAAACTTTTATCTTTCCAAAAACTACCATGCCTCCACTGACAGTGACACAAACTAAAACTGCTGACTGGCTGGCCTCCCCACCGAGCATGTCCTGATAAATAAGGCAATGCAAAGAGAAAACGCAGAGAGAGAGAGCAATAGAGGGGTAAAAGAGAGAGAGAGAGCAGCGGGCTATAATTAGTAAGTGATTAACGAGCAGGCTTCAGACAGGTCCCACATCATTGATTGTGATGTTGTGCAGAGCTGGTGCAGCAGAAACACAGGGGCCCGGGGAGGGTGTGGCGGGGTCAGCGTCCACAAACAGACTCGCACAAACAGACTCGCACAAACACACTCACACGCACAAGCAGAGGGAGCTATAGCACGGTCATTAGCCACAACACCAGGGCAGGGCGCATTATGGCAGGTTAGCCGCTCTGGGAACACTGAATTATAGCACTCAGACTTTTGGAAAGGACGTGGTTTAAGTGGGAAACAAAACATGTACTTAGCTACATACAGGCCATGAATCTGTCCACAACAAGAGGTGGAATTACAGCTTTCAGCGGGAACAGTACTGGGGGATAATTTGCATAACACTGAATGTAATAACCCGCTGCTTGGACTAAACAATATTAAGTTATCAAAATAATCAACCTAATGTTTTATTAATTTTTTCCCCTCTAACAAACTTATTTCACAAGTCTCAAGTCTCAGTTTTAAAAATTGCCATTTAAATTTAGATCACTATGTTACCTTTTGTTGGTTTAAAAATGCTATATTCACCAAAAACAATGAATTAACATGTTTTATAAGTTTCATTTTTTCAGACAGTTTTAATTTTTTTGTTCCTATGCTAAGTCACTCCCCCTTCAGAGTGCTATAACAACATAATCAGCGTGCATTTCGCTAATGAAACTACAATACATAACATCAGGATTGTGAAGTTGTAGTGTACCGTTTAGTATCCTGCTTTTGTATATTTCTGGAGAACTGTTTTGAGGGGCTTGGGTAATGTCGGGTTGTGGGCTAAGAATTGGACATACTGCCAACCATAAGGAGGGTTTGAACAGGGCCCGGGAAAGATGGCTAGATTACTCAAACATGCACAACATGTAAAAACACTTCAGGGATGTTTCTGATGAGAGAACTTTAAAACATGGAAGATTTTGCATACTTCTACTGACTGAGGATTGTCCGTATATTTTTTTCCTTCTTCCCGAATTTTGAAATTGTACATAACAAAAAATGAATGAAAACAAAACCCTTCCACACTCCACCCCTCTCTCTACACCACTGTTTCCCAAACCTTTTTTCTGGGGACCCACAAACCTTCATGACCCAAGTCAACAGACATTATTCGTAAATTACAAAATAAAGGTGGATATGACCATTACTGAACATTAATGAGGATATTTTATTGTTGACTGAGTGATCATGTTTTTCAGAACAATTAGTATTACTCAGGTTTTATACAATGAAAAACAATAAATAAACCAGCAATAAAAGGATCCATAAGTTGCATATTTGGACATTTAATGTAGCCCATTTCTTTTTCTTTTCAACATTCAATTGAACCAGAAATATGGGAACAAAATTCAACTTATATTGCAGACATGCAGATCGAGACAAGGCGACATAAAAAAGACCACTGGAAAAACAAACATCAACTGTCACTTAAGTCCTGAATCTCAATCTTGATTAAATTTCTTTGTTCCAGAGCATCACAAGCCTGTAGTTGTACCACCAGACAGCTTATCTATGCAGTTATATCAGTTATATACTAATATCCAAACCACTAATAAATCATAATATATTCTACTATTCTGATGTGAAATCCTTGTGAAAATCATCTTCCAGGCCACACAGGCAGAGGTTAAAAGCTGTAATGTTTGCATCTTTATCTGCTTCCTCGCCGTTTCCCAAGCTGCTCCCTTCCTCCCCCTCTCCCCCCTCTCCCTGTATGATGACGAGGCAGGCAACGCTAAGCGAAATTTTAAACTTAACTGTCAAAGCAAAGGAGAATGAAGAGGGGAACATGTACAAGAAAAAAGAGCGAGAGAAGAGGGTAACTGCTGAGGATGGCAAAAAGAGTCTTGAGGTTGCTCCGGGCTCTTTCTCCCTTCTCGTCTCTCTCTCTCTCTCTCCCCTCGCTCCATCCCTCTCTTCATCGTTTTCTCTCGCCATCTCTCTCCCCCCCTTGATCTCTCCATCCTTCTGTGACCAACTCCATCTCTATGACTCCATCCTGCTGTCTCTCCCTCTCTCTCTCTCAATCTCTCTGTCTCTTTCCCTTTCTCCATCTCTCGCCAACACCCTCTGTGTCTCCCTCTCTCCCTTTCTTTTTCCCCCTCAATCTCTCCATCTTCCTGTGTGTCTCTCTCTCCCTCTCCCCCCTCTGACTCACTCTCCCCGTCTCCCTCTCTTTCCAGCTCTCTATCTTTCTCTCCTTCTCTCCCTGTCTCTCTCCCTCTCCATCTCTTTGTCTTTCTCTCCTCCTATTTCTCCCTCTCTCTCCAGCTCTCTATGTCTCGCTCTCCACTTTTCCATCTCTCTCTGACTCTCTCTCCATCTCTCTCTCTCCATCTCTCCATCTCTCTCTCTCCATCTCTCCATCTCTCTCTCTTGGTACAGTGCCAGCCTGGATGTGCTTTAGAGTGCGGCCGGGCGGGCACAGTGATCTGGCTCGTGGTGCGTGCAGTTCTGTCACTCCGTCCTTGCCCTCTTTCTTTACGGTGCCAGGCTAATGATGATGACAAAGGAAAGGAGGGGGCACCAAACGCCACGGAAGAAGACAGGGATTTGACCTCCGGAAAGGGTGAGGGTGGAAGGCTTTGGCTCAGAGTGGGCCATACATACTGCTGCTAGTTGGCACGCTTTGTTACATGTAAATAAGCATTAAAGGAGAGCTCATTCTTGCTCTGCTAATAGTCATTTTGATGCCAGCATGTTCAAAAATGGAAATCAAATGGCAGGAGAATACTAACATACGTGCAAGTTAAAGGTGTATTATGTAGGTCCTGCTTGTCTCCATGGAGACGTTATTGCTTTGCCTGGAATGTTCCACAGTATGGCATTCATTTATCTATCTATTGAGACAAACAGGTCACACCAGGGACTCCTTTTCAACAGTGTTTTCCTATTCACCTGTGCTGCCAAGTCTAAAAAACAGACTTTTTTGACAAGACAAAGCTTCATTTAGACCTAAAATTAAAACAAAAACACATCCAGATTTTCTTTTACTTTCTGCTGATGCATCAGGGTGCCACCATTTTTGTAAAGATGTCATACTCAAGAGCCAGTTTTCCCTGATGATTATATTGTACTTTGCCATGAAATATCTAAAAGTAAATTGAAAATGTTTAAGTTGATTATTTCTAACTGGACCCCATAACTCACTAGCGAGGCTGGTGCCACCTAGTGCCTCCGCTCAATTTAATTTCTCTCCAGCGACTAGGTCAGGAATCAGAATACACTAGACAGTTTGCAAAAACCTCGGAAGTGCCAGTCCGGGCACCAGCCAATCAGAGAAGAGTCATACATTCTGTGTTGGCAATGACTCCCGAGATTGAGGATATAAAGACGAACAAAGAGAATGTTTGGTGAATTTTATCAAGGGGTAAGACGTTATTGCCCTTCTTCCAACGGGATTTGGAAAAAGCTTAATAAATAATAGCAGCAATTGCAGTACCCAGCTACCATCGAGCGAACGAACCCTAATGCTGCAAGGTCAGACGGTTTCCAAAAAGTGAAACCGGCTGACAAATCAGGCTAATAACTCACTGGATTACAACAAAAATCTGCATTTAAGATGCCCCCATCTGTATTAAATATTTCTGGTCTATAGAATGTTGTGAAGTTGTGAGCACACTTACCTTTTCATTGTTATAGTAGGCCAGAGACTCTCCATCAAACCGCACCCATCTTCTTTGAAAAACGCGTTTTCTGGAAGAGACAGGGGAATACTGAGTGGACAGGTCATAAATGTCACAGAGTGAAAGGCTGCTTATAGCTTTTTATCAGGAGTGCCACATTCATTAGCGTCAAGAGTTGTACCAACATCTGTCAATTAGCATAATCAAAACAAATGGCCACTTTCAATTTGAATATTCAACAGCTCAGGGCTTTTTGCCAACTCTATGCAAAACAGGTGGTGAAGGGAATACAGAAAGAATAGAGAACAGAATGGACTCAACAGCACATAGTTCAAAAATGCATGTTCACAGCTCACGCAAACACATTGTCATAGTTCAACTAAGCAGCATTTTTAATTGCCCCTAAATTGTGTATATGTAAATTATATGTTGTATAATTATGTTTAATCCACTTATACCATGGACACAACAATTGAAAATAGTTCACTTTTTAAATATGATGACCTTTTGGCTGTCTGTTTACAGAACTACCTTTATTCAAAAAAATAATGTATTGTCCGTAGGTAAATTTGCATCAAAACTGAGCATATGATTCCTTCAGTGGCCTCTGCAATTTCCAATATTGGTGACATCACAAATCACTGCACTGACTATAGCCAGGTGTTTCTGATCACAATGTGCTCCACTGTGTTTTTAAAGTCCAAATACTGAATGATTTCAGTGCTGGAACTACCCATCTCTACTAACTAAATGTCTACTAACTCTACTAACTAAAAGTAAAAGGTAACTGTTAACTTGAAAACTAGGGATGGGCATTCGATGAAATTTTCTTAATCGATCATCGGAAGAATTAACGATCGATTATCGATTAGTCATTAACGTTTTTATATTAAAATGATCATCATTATTATTACTATCTGCACTACTAATCTGCATACATAAATTCAACTTTACGACATATAAACCGTAACGACTCTAGAGCCACATCAATCCGTTTGAAATTATAATGTGTTTAATTCAGTTTTGCGCAACTCTCACAGAAACGAAACTTAAAACCGCATCGCTAATTTGCATAAACTAAGCGAAGATAAAACTACAGCTCTTGTGTCGCTGATGCGGTCAATTTCTGTTGGATTAAAAGACATGACTCAGGTAAATACAGGTTAGTGTGACCATATTTGCGTTTGACAAAACCAGGACACCGTACGGGGGGAGGTGGGGACTCGTCATCGACATTGCCGACTCTCACCTGGCAAAACTTTTTCCCACTGGACACCGAAACATACGTTCCTGCTTTGTACACTGTCCACATGGACTCCCACTTGTCCCGAACGCAACGGAAAGCGTGGAATTTCCTGTACAAATCATCCTTAAATACGCATTTGTGCTTCGGTACGCTGCAGACTGACCGACTGTTTGTGTTTGCTCGCTCCTTCTGAGTGCAGAGAGACACATGTACGGACCCCTGTTTGGTCACGCTACGCACAGCAACCTGCATTCGGTTTGTCGATTAAAATGAACATAATCGATGAAATTCTTAATGATCAATTATCGATTAATCGATTAATCATGCCCATCCCTATTGAAAACTATCACTACATGATATCACAAGGTGGAACAGAGCATTAAGGTAATAAAAGGTTGCTCAAACACAATTTCAGATATGTTTTTGATGAAGTAACAGCACTCTAACATGGCTTAAAGCTCACAAGAGTCAATTTTGTGTAATATAGGTCTGTAAAGCCTAGTTAACTTTGTCAACTATAATATACTGTCAATATTACATTTTTCTTGATAAAAACTACATAAAAAGTATAAAATGAAACCACATTTAGTTGACAAATTAGTGACTTAAAAGGTGCACTATGTAACCTTTTGGTTGTGGGTCCATCACCTGCTTGTTTCTATGGATATTTCATTGCTCTGCCTGGAATGTTCCACAGTGTGATATTAAACAGTTCTAACTTATATTTATTAAATGACAGGTGGTTTTATAGCTCAAAGATACCAAGAAAAACAAGCATTCTGACTGTGAGCAGGGTTGCCTCTTTACAGATCTGACCTGTAACTTGGTCTGGTCACTATGAAAGGTAGAAGGTAGAAAGGTTTAATATCATACTGTGACAAAGCAATAATATCTCCATGGAGAAAAGCATTTGACAAAAAGTTACACAATGCACCTTTAAAGTTCACAATAGTCATTTTTGTGTAATATAGGGCCTTTAAACATTGTTAACTTTGTCAACTAATATACTGTCAATATACATTTTTTACAGACAAAAACTGCATAAATAGTATAAAAGTAAAATACATTACAGATTTAGTTGACAAATTCATAACTTACCCCTGAGGTGACAGCTTGTCGAGCCAACCAGCCTTGAACACCTCACGTCTGGGGGCCCCATAGTAGCAGGCGTAAGGAGAAATATCAGGCAGAGGCGGGTTGTTATTTGCCCCTCCTACAATATCTCCAGCCCGAGTGTATAGATCACACTCCACTGTCAACATCGAGTCATCCTGAGGAGCACTGGGGTCTTCACTGGTCCCCATCACAGCATGGTCCAGACCAGAATGGGCCAGTATCACAGCACATTCTTCTACTGTTGAATAGTCGTCCAAATCGTGTTCAGGGACAGGAGGAGGAGGAGAAGAATCTTTGTCTTTTGTTTCTTTTGGTTTTGGTGATTTTTTCCTGAAATACAAAATGTATGTTCAATATTTAAAAAAGGTAATAACTGAAAATGTGCACATTGGTTTACAATCACAACTAAATTTGATGTAAATATTGAGAACAGCTCATATCTACAAATTCAAGTGTATTGCTTGCTTGTTTAGTCATAGAATCTGGCAACCCAAAGTGACGCGAAGTGTTCGTTTTGCTTTTTTATTCCATATAAAATTACAAAATGAATGAGTGATCAGTAAAATTAAAAGGGCCCATGTTTTCTGAGCATGTTTCCTCATCACAAACATACCTGGAGTTTTGTTTTGTTGTTTGTTGTTGTCATGTGGTAATACAGGAAGTGTGAAGTGTGTTTTGTCACTCTGTTACCAGAATCATTTGGATGATTTCAGTCCTGTAAATGCTAATTTCAACTGAACTGTGGGTAAGAGACAGCTGTTAACCTAAAGGGAGATGGAATTTTTTACATAGGACCTCATTTCCTAGTGAGCCAGAGTGTTGGAGGCATGGGAAGACACTTTTTTAAATATTCGATCCAGTCCTTGTATTTGCAGAGGTCACTGGTGCTAGGCTAGTGCATGTCAATCACCACAGTTATCCTGCCACTAAAAACAATCTTACCCACTCCAACCGTCAGACTGTTGATGTAAATGTCTGTGTCAGTAGAATAATTTTAGAAGTAAAACCAGATTCATGTTATGAAAAAAGGATTTATGTTTGAGCAGCAGCAGTGAGTTGTACTTAGAAAGATGGCGGACTGATATCACCTGGCACCTATTTTACTGGTGTGGCATAGGATTTTGACCCCGTGGTGAGGTGACCCCGGGGCCAACATACCATATAGTATTTTAACCCCAGGGTCAGAATCCTATTATGGTATGTTGACCCCCCTATAGAATATTGACTCTCCTATGAAAATCTATATTTTATTAATAAAGAACTTGAATTCTATAGAAAAACTTTGAATATTAATACTATATCTGCTAATTAAAACATATTGACATATTTAACCCCCCAATATATTTATTATAGTTATGATTACGTAAAGTAAGAAATAATGTTAGTTGAATATTGACAATGATCAATTATATATCAAGGAGGTCAAAATCCTATGACTATAATAATCTGACCCCCAATATGTTTATTATAGTCAGATACTTTCAAGTGGCTCACCTACATATGTTACATTTACACAAAATACCAAGTCGTTATCCATGCACACATTCCTTAAAATACCTTAAAAGATTGTGAATATGTAGCAATATTTGATAAAGTACAGGAGAAATAATGATCATATAAGTAAATACTAAAGAAAAAAGTAAGAGTAGTCAAAATCCTATGGGGGGGTCACTTTACTACAGCGGTATGCTGACCCCGGGGTCAATATACTATGGGGGTCAAAATAATATCTCACACCAGCAAAGTAAAATTCCGCTGCTGCTGAGAAAATAATCCCTCAACATGCAACGATTCATGTGATACAAGGTTAGTTTTATTCCAAACATTATTCTATCAACACAGACATTTACATCAACAGTCTGGTGTAATAACAGATTTGCTTTGGGTGCTTTGTGGACTGGGTAAGACTGGTTTTAGTGGCAGATTAACTTTGTGTCTCCCCACATCTCCAACGCCAACTAGGAAATGAGGTCCCATGTCCAAAATTCAGGACTGTCCCTTTAAAAACTACCTCTACATTGTTAAGCATGTGTGAATGATAAATGTGAATGAAACAAAACACAACTGCCAGGTAAGTTTTTGATGAGGAAACACCATTATAATAGATCAGAAAATAGCATAATACGGGCCCTTTAAGAGGATGCAAGCCACTAAATAGATAGATTCTCAGGCTAGGTAGTTAAAAACTTGAAAACCTCACCATTGTTACGACAGCTGAAATAAATGGCCACATTTTAACTCAAATGCCCACATAATTTTTCCTCGATTGCGTTGTTCTGAGATGTTTTTACAAGCAGAGTTCAAACACACAAACATACCTTAGTTTATTTGGCTTTATCTTGTCTTTTAAACCCTTCTGCTCCCCTTCTTTATCACCTTGGTCCTATGGAGGAGAACATAGATAAGAATCAGACAAGAAGAGGAGTGCCCATCTCCCAGTCACTCACTTATGTTGGTGCACCAGGCTATGCTAACTTTAGAGACATTTCTATTAACCTCTGGGGACACCGTGAAACAAGCACATTATCTTCTATGCTTTATGTGTCCAGGCCTGTCACAGTAACTAATTCTGAAGTGATCTATTGCTACACAAAATATTAGAATGAGCCATAGACTGTATAACAAAGTGGACTAAGGGAGTGTGGTGTCATCCATAGCGTTCAGCTCCAGTCAAATGAAGCTCACTGAGGCCTGCGGTTATAGAGGAGAATTTATAGCCAGTTACAGATTAGGAATAGGAATTTAGTTATGGACAAAATGGTGAAATAAAAAAAACAAACAAGATCATATAGAGCGGGATAATATAAACATTTTAAAACCAAAATGACAAGGCTCACTGAAGTTACAGAGAGATGGACGACAATTTTTCGATGTAAAGCCAGAGTTGATGGAGCCAGAAGAACCCCCACGTTCACTTCCTATTTGTAAAACGGCTGCTAGCAGGTTAACTATGTCCATTTATACACAGTGCATTTATATATTGAGCCCCAAAAGATATTGTTCCGTTCGATCTATATTGATTATTTAGTATTTATTGAAGTTGATTTAGTATTTATTAGGGATGTAACAATAACCAAAAGATCGTGGTAGTGTATCGTCAAAAGTCTCATAATAATATTGTGGACCATCACAATATATCGAATTAAGTCTCTCTGCTTAAATAAATAGTTCTCGTGCAGCAATATAGCTAAAAAAACGAGAACTACATAGACCAGGATCCTTTGCTTCGTTACAGTGCAGACTACATGCAGAAATAACAGTTCTAAGCACTTTTAAATCTTAATTATTTGGATTATTACATTTTAACAGGAAAAAGTAGTATATTCACAGTTTTGCCTCCACAAAATATCGTAATAAATATCATACCATGAGATATCGTAGAAGTATCTGGATATCATTACATCCCTAGTATTTATTGTACCAGGCCTATATGTGTCATTGCCAAATGTATGATAACTGAAAACATGCTTGATAGTGTTTCCACTCGGGCTATAGTCCCTTAGTCTTTTAGTCGATTAAACACGACCAGATTTTGTATTAGTTAATTATTTTATTTAGATTAAAATGATTTATATGAGACAATAGCAGAAAGGAGAAGTTAGTGTGGGAGTAAAGTTCAAACTGTCTCTATATAAATACACTGTTTTCCTAGTACTCTTGAAAATTTTGCATGAACTTGAAGTTGTAGACTTATGAGTGCAGTTTGGGTCAGACACATACGTAATCATTTTGAGAGCTTTTGTCACGCCTTCTTTTTAGCCAACTAATCAATCAGCAGGACATGTCTTTAGTCTACCCAGAATTCCTTTAGTCAACTACAGCCTTAAAAAGGTGCATTGTGTAAATTTTCTGGTGGAGGGTTGTTAAATTCTTTTCTCCATGGAGATGTTATTGCTTGGTCTGCAGTATGGTATTAAAGGGACAGTTTCGGAATTTTGGACATAGGACCTCATTTCCTAGTTAGCCATAGTATTAGAGACGTGTGGAGACACTTTTTTAAATATTCCAACCAGTCCTTGTATTTGCAGAGGTCGCTGGTGCTAGACTAGGACATGTCAATGGCCATAGTTAGCCTGCCACTAAGATCAGTCTTACCCACTCTACAAAGCACCAGAGGAAAATCTATTATTACGCCAGACTATCATTGTAAATGTCTGTGTTGATAAAATAATTTTTGAAGTAAAACCAACCTTGCATTTAAAGGATTTATGTCTGAGCAGCAGCAGCACCAAGTTGTACTTACTGATAGAAAGCTTGGCAGCAACGGACTAATATATGAGAAAATAGTCCCTCAACATGCAACAATTCATGTGATTCCAAGTTTCAAACATTATTCTATCAAAACAAACATTTACATGGACAGTCTGGTGTAATAATTGATTTGCTTTGGGTGCTTCTCCAAATACACTGGATGATTTATTTTATTTTATTTTTTTAATATCTCCACATGTCTCTCAACACTCACTAGGAAATGAGGCCCTTTGTCCAAAATTCTGTGGAGAGGCCTGTTTTTCAAGGTATTTTTGAGCTATAAAGCCATCTTTATTTTAATAAGGCAGGTAGAGCCGTTTAATATCCATAGAAACAAGTAGGAGACGGACGCCCAACCAAAAAGTGACACAGTGCACAGTGTTAGTGTTACAATGTAAAACTATATTCTCACTGTCCACTGTCAGGGCCTTACCGGGGCATCAGGTTTATTGAACAGAAACGTCTCTCCGTAGGGAACAATCGGCGTCAAGGTTTTTTCAAGTGGAGCTAAAAAGACACAAAAGAAGAAAATTTTAGTTTTGTGATGACACTGAAAACTCCTCAGTGTGAAGGTAATAGCATTGTAATACTTAAATTTAAATAAATGTTTAGCGGACTTTGATTCCAACTACTTTGTCGGAAAACGCGCCAGACCTTGATCCATGTGCGGAGTAAACCAATTAAACGTTTGGCATGCTTACCCCTGTGCCAACTGGGAGTGGGTATGTTTTGGTCTGATCTGAGCTCAGCGCCAGGGCCAGTTCTCTGTTTTGGATCTTACTGAGGGATTGTTCGATGGTTGGCACGGGTGAAAAGTAACGAAGTACAAGAGTTAAAGTCCTGGACTTAAAGGCCCTATAATACGCAAAAATTACTCTTGTGAGCTTTAAGTTACGTTATTATGTTGTTACCTGAGCAAAAACATATTAAGAGTTGTGTTTTGTTTCAGTCACATGTTTTTGAGTAAGCCTTTATTATTTATTATACACACTATTCCACCTGGTGATGTCATGTAGTGGTAGTTTTCAAGTTAACAGTTACCTTTAACCTTTTGTTTAATAGAGATCGGAAATTCCAGGGCTGAAATCATCCAAATGTTTCTAGTGAAGGTGTATGGAGTTTAAAAACATAGTAGTACACTTCCTGTATTGCCACATGACATCACAAGGTGGAACGGACTGTTTTCTGTTTGAGAGAAGACCTCAGCCTAAATAAGCAACGTTTGTGTGTTAAACATTTGTGAATGAAACAAAACACAACTCCGTCCAACTCCGTAAAAATCAGGAATACAATTTTTAAGTAAAATGTTTAAGCATCTGCACTTTACTTATGCATATGTGCCCTATTTGCATACTTGTCAATAGATACATTTTACTTTAACTTCAATACATTTGCAAACAGGTATCAGTACTTTCTACTTTTTAGCATGTACATGGTGACATCCTGCAATTCCTGGCATTGAGCACACAAATATAAGATAACTTTCAAGAAAAAAATAAGAAATAAATTCAGATAAGCAAAAATATTCATCAAAATCATTTCAAGATTACTACAATTTTAAACAAGTACTTGAATACTTGATAGTACATCAAACTGTCTGGACGTAGAAAGTCAACTGCATGATTCCATGGAAATAGGATGTTAAAACCACACTTCGGAACAGGGACATATACTTTTTATACCATAGTGGGGAATATTATAGCCAAAGGAACAACATTTCCATGGAAACAAGCAGGCCAAATAAAAGGTTTGTGGAGATGTAAGCCCACTCACAGTAAGGACATATGATTTTCTTTGGTTTTCAGTGCAATAAAAATATCCATAATTTTAAAAAAAACATACTTTTATTTTAGTCTATGTTTTGACCAAAAAGTTACATACTATACTTTAATTATATGTTTTCATGTGATACTTTAGTTTGTTTGTTTTTTTGCCTCTGTACTCTCACCCCTGACTGTTTTTCGACCGTGGAGAAAAGGAAGAGGAGAGACTGGGGCCAGACACTATTAAGTCTGGAGACCCCCGACCACCCCTGCGTGGGCCACTGGCTGTCAGCATGAAAAATGACAGCGCCCTCTCCTGGGGACTGTGAGGGCGAGAAGACAGTGCTGTGAGGTGGAGCACACACACAAACACACACACACCAGCGCACATAATGACAGAGGACAAGATACAAAAGGCTTTCAAACACAGAGAGGACTTAAGACACCCAAGCGAATAAATTTAGCTATAAATTTAATCCCAGCAAAGTCTACATCCAGACACCACGATGCCAGAGAATCCATGCAATGTGATTAGAGAGGGAAGATATATTGTCTGCAAGATCCTACGTATAGAAAGAGCAATTTTGGAAGGCATGTAAAATTAAAATAGCGAGTATAGCTTGTGTAATAAGAAAGCTCAAAAGGGAAAAAAAAGATGGGATACAAGGAGACCTGCTAGAAACTCCACCAAGACACTGACAGTAAAGGGAGGCAAAGTAGATCAGATTATCAGAATTCATATATTCTTCAATATCAGTATCGGATGATGTTGATATTTATTTCATACCGATATAATATTCCCTTTTTCCTTTTGTTTCTCATTCTATGTGTGAGAGAAGTTGTGTTAAAATAAAGCACATATTAAGGGTGCACTGTGTAACTTTTCTGGTGATGGGTCCGTCAAAATGCTTTTCTCCATGGAGTCGCAATTGCTTTGCCTGGAATCTCTCATAGTATAGGATTAAAATTTTCTATCTTCCTGGAGACCAATCCAGGCCAAGTTACAGGTTGCGGAGTGGCAACCCCGCTCACAGCTAGAATTCTAGGTATAGTTGAGCTACAAATCCGCCTATAATTTAATTAATGTAAAGTAAAGCTGTTTAATGTCATACTATGGAATAGTCCAAGAAGGGCAATGACATATCCATAGAAACAAAAAGGTGATGGACCCTCAACTAAAAAGTTACACAGTGCACCAGTGCAAGCCTAACTTGAGTAACAGAGCTTTTAACAGACTATTACTTTCAGTTCGCATCACACAGTCTGGGGCGGTTGATGACATCAGCTGCAAAGTATCAATACCACATAACCAAACTGAGATAAGAGGTCAGTTTATAGATGACAAGCCCACATCCCACATAAGAACAATCAATCCCCCACATGTCAGTGACCTTCAGGCCTGTTCTCTGTGCACCATTACACACCAGCCCCCCCATCCCTCTCTCCCTCCCACCCTCACCAATGTCATGACAACTGAAGCTCTGGTCCTCCTCTCCTCTGTCCACAATTGAAGTTTTTATCTGCTCATAGTCAGACTCACAGAGCCCTGAAGGCAATAAGGTTGTCACAAGTATCGAAAATCAGATACTAAACGATACTAAAACTGGAATCCAAACTAGATTCTCATGTGAAAAGATATTGAGACCACAAAAAAGTCACATTCACAGGACAGATCAGTATGTGTATGTGGTATAAGACCACGTACAGACTACACACCAATGGAGAGGGACAGTGTAGGGACAGAAAATGGCACCTCCTTAAATCACAGTTATCTTAATACAAAAGAGATCCAATAGTGTTATGTAACTGTTATTTCTCCATCACATAAATACAGACCAGCTGCATATGAACAAAAGTTCAAACATTATAAGACGTTCTGGGCCAAAATCAGCCAGTAAATACTGTATTTTTCAGACTGTAAAGGTGCACTTAAAATCCTTTAAGTTTCTCAAAAATCGACAGTGCACCTTATAATCCAATGCGCTTTATGTATTAATTCTGGTTGTGCTTACTGACCACAAACCGATTTTATGTGGTACACGGCACTCGAAAATCTGTCAAAATGTTTTAGTATGACTTTGGTAAACTACGAAGCTGCACCGCTTGATGGATTGTCAGAGCATTAGGGCTACCGTAGCCCCAAGTCTCGCGGAGTCATGTCCTTTTGTACGACACAAGTTGACCGCATCAGGGCACAAGGAGTGAGCCGTTTTTCAGATCTTATAGTTTATGCAAATTAGCTATGTGGGTTTAAGTTTCGTTTCTGTAAAGTGTAAACAAATGTGCGCAAAGCTGCATTAAAACACATTATTACTCAATGTATATTTGAGTCCTCCTCGCAGGAAATAAAAAAAAAACAAATTATCCACCTACAATGACATTCATAATACACATTCACCAAGACAAATTACGCCACGATCTGCCAATGGATCGTGGATGCCTGGGTTAAGGTATCAGTCTCAAGTATAATCTATTTGTTTCGGTTAATGCACCATATAATCCAGTGCGCCTTATGTATAAAAATAGTCGAGAGAATTATTGACATTGCTCCTTAAAATCCAGTGCCCATTATAGTCTGAAAAATGTGGTAGTCTTTTTAAATATCTAATAACAATATCTGCTCAACCGATATCATGGAACTGATACCCAAACCATTCAGTTTTCAGTATCGATGCCAATATTCAAAGCCAGTATCCAGTATACTGTGCATCCCTGCTCTTTATACTAATATATTTTTCACTAGTAGACAATAATGTGAAAGGGAACATACAATTAAAATTCTTCCTGTCAGTTAGAACCATACAACCGTGCTTCAATGGGACCCAGCTCTAAATCCCACTTGGCGTAAACTCTTCAAATATGAATATATAAAAACGATACGTCAAATAAGTCCTTTCTACGCCTCACTGCAGAGATTTTCCTTGCTCGTGGAGCTCCCCATTCCCTGTCCGGGGACCATCTTGGCTCCTTTTTCCGCTCTCTTCCTGCCTGTTTTGCATCCTCCTCTCCTCTTCCTTCCTCCCAGCCCAACTCCGCTGTCTTCCATTTTCTCTTCTGTAGTTTTTCACTCCCGCTCGAGTTTCGCACAGAGGAAAAAAGTTGGAAAACAGCATCTACCAGGAGACCGCTGGAGCTAAGGTACAAGAAATAAGCGAGAGGGGGAGAGCCAAAAAATCAGCGCAAGGGGAGATTAAGAGTAGAAATAATGTTGATATAGATGATAAAAATATGAGCCAGAAGCAATTCATTTATAACATCACAGACACAGCTCATCAAGAAGACTAATGATGTTCTTGAGTGGGACGCAATTAAATTCCTATGATGAAAAATAAAAGTAAATTAAATGGAAGATTACGGCTTACACTGCAAAAATCTTATAGCTAGAACAGTTAAAATGACTCTCACTTGGAGTAGTTTTGACTAGACTGAATTACTTGATGGACTGAGACGAATTGTGCACTTTTTAACTTTTCTGGTAGAGTATCTGCCATCTCCTTTTCATGGTGACTAGAGGGTTACAAAATTTGGTGATACGGAAGAAACTTGTTTTCGCAATACACTTGACATATTCAAGGTTCTGATGATTAAAATCGATGTATTAGTGGGTAGCTGCAGTATTGGTTACATAGTGTACCTTCTTTGCCAATGGAGTAAGACAATTTGACTTCACTAGTTTCTATTTTCAGCTTAATTTAACCTTTAATCAGTCAGAAATATCTCAAAACAAATCCCATACAGGTCACATCTTAACATTCCAAAACTGCAATCTGAATTCAAATAAAATTGTTCGAAATTCCTATATTCCAATAAACAGAAATAGAAAAAGGGCCCATATTTTCTTTATCAAAAGAGTTGTGTTTTGGTTCATTCACACAAACCTTGCATCATTCCTCTCTCAAATGGAAAACACTCTTCCAACTTGAGATGTGTTTTTAAACTCCAAACACTCACTAGAACTATTTGGATCATTTCAGCCCTGGAATAGCCAATCTCTACTGATCCAAAGGTAAAACGTAGCTGTTAACTTGAAAGCTACTGCTTCATGACACCACAAGGTGGAACACAGGATTTTGAGCTTTGGAGATGAAGATAGACCAATAATAAAAGGATTATTCAAACATGTGTGAATGAAACAAAACACAAATCCAGATATGCTTTTGTAACAACATTATGACATGACTTAAAGCTCACAAGAGTCAACTTTGTGTAATATATAGTCACTTTATCGATATTTCCTTTAGCACTATAACAAGCCTGTGAGTTGTCAGAAAAAGTTTATCGACTAACAAAATAAACTTTGGGAAACCGGGCGACAGAATTACACGCCAAGGTCTTGCCAAGGGACAAGATGAGAGAGCGTCTATTCCCTGTGAGGTGTACGCCGCCGCCGCCAAAACCAGCCCCGCCCATTCCCCCCCTTCCCCTCCTCCTCGCCGTACCCACACGACCAAACCCCCCGCACCCCCTCACCCCATCCGCACCCGCTTTCATCCGGGCAAACAAAACCGCCGCCGACACAGACTCCGCTGCCAAATGAAATATTCATGGTGGAGATGAAGCGAGCGACTGAAAGACTGTGTGTACCTTTCTGTATGCCGTTTGCACCGGTGGGACCCTCGGAGCCCGTTATGTGTTCGGGGCTTGGAGCTTGCGTCAGTGGTGCGCTCCTGAGAAAAGGAGAGAGAGAAGATAGGTTAAAATCACGTGTGGAGCATACAAGCCACTGAATTAAGATTTTTAAGGTTGAAAAGTTTGGAAAAAGTTCAGGCAGTAGTAGAAGTACTCAGTTGTACAAGAAAAGACTCAAGTAAAAGTAAAAGTATCACATGAAAAAATGTAAGTAAAAAGTGCATGTTTAAAAATGTACTTAAAAGTGTAAAAAGTACTTTTAGCCTTTGCAGCAGGTCTCAAACTATAATAAAATAGACTTGTGCTTTTCAATCAGTTTAAAAATGTACTGGAGTACAAAGTACAGCTACCTGATCTAAAATGTAGTGAAGTAAAAATAAAAAATATCCTCTTGAAAATGTACTTGTGTTAAGTACAGATACTAAAAAATATACTTGCCGATAAATACATCTTTTTATTTATAGGTATAAATTCTAGAGCTATGTTTTTGGTTTCAACAGCAATAAATACAACCATTGGCTATCATACCATATCTTATTTATTTATTTCCTTACCTTTCCGGACTATTTTTCTCAAAATGTTTGACTAAAATGTCTATGTAAACTGTAAATACATGTTCTTATGTATAGATACAGATTCTAGGGTTCTGTGGTTTCAAAACGGCAATAAATACAACTGTTAGCTGTCATGCCATATCTTGCTTATAAAGTCCCCAAACCATTCTGGTCTATTTTTCCTAAAACGTTTGACTAAAATGACTCTCTGCTCAAACAATCTGTTTCTGAACCCTTTGCAGCACACACAAATGGCTAGACTCTTTGTGAAGCTGGGGTTCTGTAGTTTGGGCCTCTGCTGTCTGATCTACTCTCATTTTAAAAGTGCACTTTGTAACTTTTCTGGAGAGGGTGCGCAGGCTGTTTGTCTCCATGAAGATGCTTTGGTTTAAATTCTCCATATGGTAATAAACTAATCTGTTTTACATGTATTCAATTACAGGTTATTTATTGCTCAAAAATATCTTCAAAAAGTCTCCATGGACAGTCTTAGGTTTATGGCCATACTGTGGAACATTCTACGCAAATCTCCATGGAGACAAGCAGCTGATGGACTCTCCACCCGACAAGTTACACAGTGCACCTTTAAGTGGGAACAAGCTCTACACAGAGGAAAGTCAGTTTTGTGCTTTTGTGCAGTCAAATTGTGCTTGAATTATTTGAGATAAATATAAGAACAGGTGTAGCTGGTGTCCCTCGGGATGATCTGAGAGACAGCGGACTGAGCATTTGTTGGGTGTTGACTATTCCCATGTCAAAGCTAAAGCAGATCTTTCTAAAAAATAAGATTTAGGGATTGTAATTAGGCAAAAAGCTGGAATTAAAAGGTGCATTGTGTAACTTTTCTGGTGGAGGGTTAATCAAACCCTTTTCTCCATGGAGATGTTATTGTTTTGTCTGGGATGTTTCACAGTATGACATTAAACCTTTCTCTCTTCATGAGACCAAACCAGACCAAGGTACAGGTCAGATCTGTGGAGATGCAACCTTCGCTTACAGTCAGAATGTCTGTTTTTCTAGGTATTTTGAGCTATAAAACCACCTGAACTGAATAAGTGTAAGGTAGATCTGTTTAATGTCATACTGTGGAACATTCCAGGCAGAGCAATGACATATCCATAGAAACAAGCAGGTGATGGACCCCCAACCAAAAAGTGATGTAGTGCATAGTGAAAGATCTATTACATTTTAGTGAATTTGTGTATATTTTTTTTATTTGTGGGTCTAAATTGGTCCAGATTCTTCTCAGAATGATGAGTTACAGATACTGTTGTGTGTACATGATCATTGCTGTTTGTCCACTTTATAATACAAGGGAACTAAAAAAAAAAAAAAGTCAAGGTCCCATGCATGGTTCCTCGGAATGGTAAGGAGATTTATTATTTGATATTTGATTTGAATTTTAAATTATTTGACTTAACTTCTGAAAATACAAATATGATACAGATATGTAAATTTGTTTTTTACATGAAATAGACTCTTGTGAGCCCAAAGCCATGTTATAATGCTGCTACCTCCTCAAAAACATGTCTGGAGTTGTGTTTTGTTTCACACATGTTTGAGTAATCCTGCATTATTATTCTGTCTACATCTCCAAAGCTTCAAAATGCTCTGTTCCATCTTGTCATGAAACTGTAGTTTTCAAGCTAACAGCTCCTTTTACCTTTAGTTCAGTAGAGATTGGCAACTCCAGGGTTGAAATCATCTAAATGATTACAGTGAAGCTGTAGACTTTAAAACACATGGAGCAATGCCTGTATTACTACGACATGACAAGATGGAACAGAGTTTTCCAATTTAATGAACTCAACCAAAATATGCAGGGTTTGTATGTTAAATGTGTGATTGAAACAAAACACAACTTCAGGTATATTTTGTGATGAGGAAACAACATTATAAGATACTGTACATCTGAACTGGGCCCTTCAAGAAAATATTACATAAACTACCTTTAATATATTTACATTTAGTTGTACAAGCTTTAAAGGTGCATTGTATAACATTTCTGATGGAGGGTTCATCACCTGCTTGTTTCTATCCATCATGTCATTGCTCTGTCTGGAATGTTCCACAGTATGAACAGTATGGAGTTGTCATACGTGTGACACAAAACACAACTCCAGATATGTTTTTGAGGAGGTAGCAGCATTATAACATGGCTTAAAGCTCACAGGAGTCTATTTCATGTAATAAACAAATGTACACATCTGTATCATATTTGTATTTTCAGAAGTTAAGTCAAATCATTAAAAATTCAAATCAAATATCAAATAATAAAATAAAAAAATACACAAAAATTCATTAACTAACAAATGTAATAGCACTTTCACTATGCACTATATAACTTTTTGGTTGGGGGTCCGTCACCTGCTTGTTTCTATGGATATGTCAATGCTCTGCCTGAAATGTTCCTCAGTATGACATTAAACAGCTCTACCTTACATTTATTCAGTTTCAGGTGGTTTTATAGCTCAAAAATATCTCGAAAAACAGACATTCTGACTGTGAGCGGGGTTGCATCTCCACAGATCTGACGTGTAACTTGGTCTGGTTTGGTTTCTATTAAGATAGAACCGTTTAATACCATACTGTGAAACATTCCAGACAAAGCAATAATATCTCCATGGAGACGAGCATTTGACGGACCCTCCACCAGAAAAGTTACACAATGCAAGTTTAACTGAGTGGACGACTAACCAAAAACAAATATCGAGTTTCTCCATGTACCTGTCCTGTATGAGTTCTGGGAGAATGACATTGGGGATCTCAGGGACCGGCCGGTGCCTGAGGCGATAGGAGCGCGTCAGGCGGGGACCTTGAGCCAACACATTTTCACCACATTCATAAATTGAGTTCTCCACCATTTCACACAGAAAACCTTCTTCTGACAACGCTTGGCTCACTTCGGGAAGATGGGCGTTTTCCGATGTTATTTCCCAGTCCGATGGCATTTCAGAGATGGAGAGGGACTCACTGCTACTGCCCGATGAAGACGGCAGACAGGGGGCGTAGGAGAGTCCAATATTTTCAGGCTTTCTTGGCGCTGGTTGTGGTGGTACAAGCTTGGTTTCATCTTCCTCACTTACTCTTCCTAAACCTGCACCGGCCGGCAAAGTTGCACTCCCTTTCAAATCTAGCTCCTTTTTCTCGCTCGTTTGGGAATGCAGACAAGAAGCTCCCCTCTTTATATCCCTAAATATGTGTCTGGGATTTGGTACTGGCTTTCTCCCAAGCTGTCCTTCCTCATTATCCTCGTCTTCGCTCAGCACTACTCCTAGAGCTTCCAAACTGCGGAGAATGCGTCTGCGGTGACCAGTGGGAAAGACTCCGAGTTCCTGAAGGTGGTCATCTGTGAGGTCTTTGCAGTCTTCTAGAGTATGGTAGCCTCCATGGACAAAGTAGGTGTAATACTGAGAGAGGTGGAGCGTCGTGAGCCATTCTTGAATCTCCTGGTCGGGCTCAGACATAATGTTAATAAAGTTATGCTAACACCACCTCATCTTAGAAGAACAGTCGAGATTGGCAGTTATTATCTGTGAAGAGACAAAACATACTCAGGGTTATTAATAAGTAAATGTGGGCAGATGCAAATGAAACAGAAAATGCACATCAAGGTTTTTGTAGTGCTGCAAATGCAAAAAAAAAAAGGCATAGCACACTCAGATGGCAAATGTCCAAAAGGTTTTGGGTTTTTTTAAATAATGTCTCAGCAAAAAAGCCTTCATCAGATCATTTTTCTTGCTTTGGACCACAGTATACTAGCCTGATTCATCAGCCGGTTTTACTTCGTGGAAACCGTCTGACTTCGCAGCATTAGGATTCATTTGTATGTAATGCACCGCTAACGAGGCTAACTGGTATATTAAGGTTTTCCCAAATCCCGTAAGAAGAAGTGCAATAACATCTTTTCCCTTGATAAAATTCACCAAACATTCTATTTGTTCTGGCTTTAAATCCTCAATCTTGGGAATCGTTGCCAACACAGAATGTATGGCTCTTCACTGATTGGCTGGTGCCTAGACTCGCACTTCCGGGATTCTTGCAAACTGTCTAGTGTATTCTGATTCCTGACCTAGTCGCTGGAGAGAAATTAAATTGGGCGGAGGCACTAGGTGGCACCAGCCTGGCCGACAGTATGCTGCTTTTTTGCCGAAACATTATTTAAAAAGCAATCTGAGGGTGCTATGCATTTTTCCACGTTTAAGGGGGGGGGGCAGATAATCAAAATATCAATACAAATATAAATCTTGCCTTAAAGATATTCAAAATTTAAAAAAAATAATATTTTTTTAAAAAAGAATAAAAATTAGATTATTAAAAATGAAAAAGTGTAATTTTTAAGTTAGTTTCAAGTTGTGTCTGATACTTAAAAGACCTATATTGCGCTATTTTTAGACCTGTGCTATAATGTCGTTTCCTCATCACAAATGTACTTGTACATTCACACATTTTTAACTCACAAATCCTGCATATTTAGGCTCTGTCTTCTTCTCTCAAACAGGAAACACTCTATTCCATATTGCAATGTTATGTCTACACTGAACTCAAGGTAAAGCTGTTAACTTGAAATGACATCACAAGGTGGAAAAGAGCATTTTGAGCTTTGGGTGAATGAAACAAAATACAACTTAAGGTATGTTTTTGAGGAGGTAGTAATATAACATTATAACATGGCTTAAAGCTCAAAGGGTCCATTCTGTGTAATATCAGATACCTTTAACAAATAAAATGAACAGAAATATTTCAAACAAGAATAATATAAGGTGACATTTTAGTGTTTTTTTTTTGTTTTGTTTTCATAACAGTTCATCTTAATTTTAGTGATACTTGAATCTTGAACGTTTTAGCATATTTCTGATGGTTTACAAAAAGAAGAAAAATATAAATTGCTGTCATTATCACTATGGCTACATTACTGCTGAGTACAATATCGAGTGCTGCTAAATTTAGAAGTATTTCGCCATTATGAGGTCACACTTTCACATTTCAGTGTTACAGATACAGGCACTGGCACCTCAAGTTATTATTTTTTTTCCCACCACACTTTTCTACAACAAGACAACACAGGAAACTGTAAGCAAAAAGTATGAGTGAATAATACAAATAATAGTAATAATACAAATGCTAGTATTAACTCAAACACTTTTCTCAATACACATATCAAAAAGGTCCTATATCACGCAAAATTGACTCTTCTGAGCTTTAAGACATGTTATAATGCTGTTACCTGCTCAAAAACATACCCGGAGTAGTGTTTTGTTTCATTCGTACGTTTGAGTAATCCTGCATTATTAGTCTGTCTATTATCTCCAAAGATTAAAATACTCTGTTCCACCTTGTGATGTCATGTAGCGGTAGTTTTACCTTTAGCTCAGTAGAGATTTGCATTTCCCAGGCTGAAGTTATCCAAATGATTCTAGTGAAGGCGTATGGAGTTTAAAAAAAATCTGTGGAGCACTTCCTGTGACTTCCTGTTTTATGACATCACAAGGTGGAACAGAGTGTTGTTTGTTTGAGACAAGAACTCAGCGTAAATGTGCAGGGTTTGTGTTAAACATGTGTGAATGAGACAAAACACAACTCCAGGTATATTTTTGATGAGGAAACAACATTATAACCTAGATCTGGAAATAATGTAATATTGAATTTCCCAAAGTATGGCATTAAACGTATCATTCTCCACAGAGACAAGCAACTTATGCCATCAGGCAAAGATATGTTTAATGTTTAATACCATATTTTGGAACATTACAGATCTTAAAATAATGTTCTCACACATGAAAGTTAAATAATTCCATATATCTTGCTTCATATATTTGGTGTCTTCCATATCTAAAATGTAGAAAGTGGTAAAAAAAAAATTATATATATATATATATATATATATATATATAACATGAGACAAGACGTGAGATGGTGTGTCCAAACTAACTAACATATAACGGATCGGCATCTTGTCATCTGAACTCGCACAACTTCTAGCGTTACTTCTGCTTTGACTGTTAGTAATGACAGTTTGTATCTTCCAAGTTTGTATTCTAGTAGAGCCATAAAGAAGCCAGAACTGAAACTGACATTTACAAACCACACACTTCACACACAGGAGTTCTCTATTTTATCTTTAGTATGGGTATCATCATTTTATAACTTATCTCTAAAGAAAATATATGTTCCGAGTTACGCCTGTCACAATAACAACTTCTGAAGTGTGACATATTGCTGAAGAAAATATAGACGATAAATGAAGATACTGAAATGAATTTAAGTGACTGACTCAATAACTTTAAAGCAGGAAAATCCCCCAAAACTTATTCTAAATGTGCAATATTCTCCTAAAAAACATGAGCTGCAATAAGGAAGACTGAAACAAGTTAACTTTGCAGTTTGTATCTATAGTCGTAGAAGTACAACTGCTCAAACTATATATATATTTATGAAGTTGAAATAGTAATTATCGTGACAGGCCTATTCAGAGTTTGTTGTAAGTCTTTATTCAAAACTGTGTGACTGTGTAGTTGCAAAATAAAGGGGATGTTATGTGAAATGGGCTTTTCTGAGCTTTTAACCTTGCTTTAATAGCGTTGCGTCATCGTTTGCTTACTCAGTGTTGCATTTTGATTTATTCACGCATGTTGAAAAGATCCAGCGTTGTCCTGCATTTGAGGCTTGAGTGCTCAGAAAATTCACGTTTTCACCTGCCCCTTATCCCCGCCTACAGCTACATGTACTTACTTGTATGTGTTACTTGTATGTGTTACTTGTACTTATCTTTTTTTTTTTGTTTTTTTAAATTCAGACTCAAGGTCATGTATAATGTCATATAGTTACTTCTCAAAAAGATAAAAATAAATACAAATATGCTGCTTGCTAGAAATGCTACTGTGAAAGCTCGGGTCACTTCTTGAGTATTGATGAGGAAGTCTATGGGTCTGGTTCTGTTATTGAGATGCTTTAGGTCATCATTATTGATACCTGGGAATGACATCACGCTGGGGGTGTTCTGCATGTATAGTAGCAAACACAGACAAAAAAGTTAAGATGGTATGAATACAAGAATAAAGAAAACATAGCTCTAAACAACTTTTTTTTCTGTCATCATTACGAGCATTCATGGTATTGTTTAGGTGTTAGAAGTGACAAACTGAAAAACTGTTGTGGCTTGTGGCTATAATTTTCTGCGTGGGAGACTTGCTTAATAGCACGAATCATCTCACCTGTTGAAATTCCAAGCAAGTCAGCTCTTTCTGGTCAGGTTGTGTTAAAATAAAGCTCAGATTAAAGACTAACTTGAATAACAGTGATTCTAACAAAGCAGTGCTTTCAGATGGCGTCACACCCTCAGGGAATAACGACCTCAGCTGCAGGTTACAACGAATAAAATGTAAAATCGTGACCTTGACATGTTACCTTTAATACTACTTTAATACTTGAAAATAGCATAATGTGTCCTGTTTGTAATATTCCCCATTGCATAGATTGCTGCAGTAAAAAGTCAATACTGTGTCCCTGGCTGCGCTGTGCATGGCTGTGTTGACATGCACAGAGAACTATATTGGCTAACATCCAGCTCTGACACACTTTGGGGCCTGCCATCGTTTGTCCTGGTCCCTTCCACACTTCTGCCTTTCAGCACATAAAAAACACATTCAAAGCAATGCACATGGCTCGCAGAACATTATTAAAGGTCTTATATTACACAAAACTGACTCTGGTGAGCTTTAAGACATGTTATAATGTTGTTACCTTCTCAAAAACAAACCTAGAGTTGTGTTCTGTTTCATTCACACATGTTTGAATAACTCTTTATTATCTCCAAAGCTCAAAGTGCTCTGTTCTACCTCATGATGTCATGTAGTGGTAGTTTTCAAGTTAAGAGCCACCTTTTACCTTTATGTTTAGTAGAGATTGGCAATTCCAGGACTGAGCACTTCCTGTATTACATGTTTGAATGAAACAAAACACAATTCCAGATGTATTTTTCCATGATAAAAATACTGTAATACACCCCTTTAAAATGCATATTATAGGTTAGGATACTTACTTACTTTACTAAAGCAAACTTAAGATCGTTATATTTAAGGTTTACATACAAATTTAAGTTGTTGTTTTTTTTTTCAGTTTGGCCATTTTTTTGGTTTAAAATTTGACTTCCTGGTTGGAAATCATTGCATTACACTAGGGAATTCCATAGCTGTTACCTAGCAACCATCTAGTACACTTGGTCAAGATCCCTAATGCACACAGAGATTATAATATGACAAACAAAAATATAAGAATAAATTGTGCCCAAATAATGTTTAAAGGTGCGTTGTGTAACTTTTCTGGTGGTGGGTCTGGTGCTTTTCTCCATGGAGATGTTATTGCTTTGTCTACAGTGTTTCACCGTATGGCATTAAACCTTTCTATCGTGACCTGACCAAGTTACAGGTCAGATCCGTGGAGAGGGAACCCTGCTCACAGTCAGAATGTCTCTTTTTCTAGATATTTTTGAGCTATAAAACCACCTGTAATTTAGATCTGTTTAATGCCATACTGTGGAACATATCAGACAAAGTGATGACATATCCATAGAAACAAGCAGGCGACGAACCCCCAACCTTAAGGTTCTAAAGTATCAGAAAATTTAGCTTCTCGTGTATAAATTATGTTGAACTTTTGGCAAGAATTCACTGTATTGTGAGTCATAAATACGAGACTCTTTACTTCCTGTAATTTTCAACATATTTTTCAACTCTTCTTAACAAATTGGTTCTTGTTTGGTGTCAAACTATAATTTATATTCACAAGAGGTATTATCTCAACAAATTAAGTCAAAATTTGAGAACCATTCATCCAATCTATAGAAGATGCACACTGTGAGGCCTTGGCTCACGAGAAAAGGGAAATATGGGTGAATATGAGAAGTGCTAATGTTTACAATGTGAGAAACTCTGCGCATGCCCTTTACACGCCTGTTTAATGAAATGCATTTTACATATAGGCAACAAATAACAGAATGATCACTATGCAGATAACCAGTCAAGTACGAAGTGTGCAAGGAGCGTTTACCATGCAGTATCTCAGGTAAGTGAAGTTTTACAGCGCAAAAAGGTGAGTCATAGTAGAATGCACGCCCTTACAGGCAAACACACACGTGCTTCATACCATCCCTGCTAGCCAAAAACAGAACAAAGTCCAAATATATTTTATTATTATATTAGCCCTAAATGCTTCCTGCTTCTTAAAAAGTAGAACTAGGCTATAAATTAGAAGTATGCACTTGACCTATATTTGGAAATGTCACTATTCTGTTACTGGTTGAAATGAAACTGAATAAAACGGACATTATTCACAGCAATTGTTTGACTTGAGGGTCCAGTCATGCTTGCTAAACACAACTTTTTCGAAACTACTTCTCCTTCAGTTTCATCTTCTTACATATCACCTTCACAGCTCGATTAACGTTATAACCACCCTAAAGCCACAAATAAACCTCACTTAAGCTCGTTTATTTAAGTCTCGCGCCCGCTTCGAGTACATAAACACAAACATGCGGTCGCGAACGTGACGCGACACGCTCGGTGCGTCAGGTAGTTGACCAACTTACGTACCAGGTGAACGCGAGTAGGTTACTTGAGCATCATTTGATTCAGTGTCGCTGTGCCGTGCGCCGTCTCCTCTCTGATGACCGTTTGACTTCTGGCAGCCTGCTTTGACACCGTTCAGTTTCCGTTCTCTCAGTGTGAAGGCAACGCCACGCCCCTTTTGGCACGCTGCAAGAGGCCCCTCACTGCTGGTAAAGAGACACGCCAGGTCAGTTCAATAGAAGATGATATCATTTTCTTAGCTCCCTTTTGAGACACTACCAAAAATGCGGTGGGCCATATTCTTATTCTTGTGTATGTGTAAAGAGGCAGCATATACAGGTTTAAAATGTAAATATCCTCCTGGAACCCAAAGAAGAAAGTGTATTGCAATATATATTTTTGTGATTTTCTGTCTATTTTGAGGTAAATGAACACCTTGGCATTTAGATTTTGTTCATTTTATTTTTATTTATAATTGTATAACATGTCCTCTGTAATGGACACTGGGGACATTTTGGTGTTAAATCCATGTGAAGCTGACAACCTAACAAAAACAACTTTTTTGATGACCAACATCTCTGACAAGCTTCTACAGCTGCGTCAGAAAGTTTTTAGACTCCCTTTTAATTCCTTTTTTAAAAGTATTATTCTTATAGTGCAGCTACAAACTAACTCCTATTGAGTTAATTTTGTATCCTGGACATGATAGTCCCCTAAAATCCCCCAGCCCTATATAGGCAGAGGAACCTAGTCCCCCCATTAAGAGTTTTCATCAAAACAATTAAAAGATAGACTTTATAACTCAATGTCGACTACAAAAGACACAAATGAATGGGCTGGGTCTCGTGAGGATATGTGAAGATAGAGCCAACGTGGGTCATTTCAGTGTGCTATAATAGTAGTAATACTGAATTGAATATGATATTGAAGTGATATGAAAGGACGGCCTTAAAGGTGCGTTGTGCCATTTTTCTAGTGGAGGTTCCGCCACCGGCTAGTCTCCATGGAGATATTACTGTTTTGCATTGATTATTACACAGTATAGAAATTATCTTAGTAATCACAAGAGTTCATCTTTGTTTGTTTGTTTTTCTCAGCAATAATAACATGCAAGGGAAAATGCAAGGGAAATATGTTTAATGCCCTACTATGGAACATTCCATGCAAACAATTAACATCTCCATGTAGACAAGCAAGTAGTGGATCCCTTGCTTTACATAGTTACATAGTGAACCTTTACCTACACAAAATAAAAATAAATAATAGATAGTATCGATTGTTGTGCAAAAAGTTCCTGATTTATATGGTACTTTCTTTATGTATGTATTTATTTTACTTTTAACTCAAATAAAAATGTTGGTCACCTTTATTAGTCATTTTATTGCTTTTCCACACTATCCTAGTACCTGATCGTGAAGCCTGTTTTCCAGTATATCACGTGTGTTGCTTACATGAAATCAACAGAACAGAGCAAAGTGGAAGTCCCTGATGCTGTTTGCTACAGTCCTTACATGTCCCGGCTTGAGTCTGTGGCCCCCAGGTTACGTGTTCAGAACAGACAGGAATGTAGAGCTCTGCCCTCCACACGTACACCAGCTCCCAGGAAAGACGATCACGCTTGATCTACCATTATGTCAGGCCTATGTCTTTATTCTCTTTTGACAGCAATAGAGCAATATGACTCAGGGGCTTGGTTTACCACATGAGGAAGAAAGCACACACTACCTGAAAGCTGGCTGATGTCTTTGTTTAATCATTTATTTTTTTATGTAGGCTTATTGGCTATAAAGTGGAAAATACCTTAGGCTGCCTTACAGTTAAAGCTTCTATATTACACAAAACTAACTCCTTTGGGTTTAAAGCCATGTTATAATGTTGTTTTCTTCTTAAAAATATACTTGTAGTTGTGTTTTGTTTCATTCACACATGTTTCAGTAATCCTGCATCATGTCTGTCTACATCTCCAAAGCTAAAAAAGACTCTGTCCCACCTTATGATGTCATGAAGTTGTAGTTTTCAAGGTAACAGCTCCCTTTTACCTTTCATTCAGTAGAGATTGGCAATAGCAGGGCTGAAATCATCCAAATGATTTTACTGAAGGTGTATGGTGTTTAAAAACACAGTAGAGCACTTTCTGTATTACCACTTGACATCACAAGTGTCACAGTGTGTTTTCAGTTTGAGAGAACTCAGGGTAAAAGCAAAGGGCGTGTGTGTTAAAGATGTGTGAATGAAACAAAACACAACTCAACGTATGTTTGTGATGAGGAAACATTAGAATAGGAAGATCAGGAAATTGTGTAATATGGGCCCTTTAAAGTTAAAAAAAAAAGTGAATTTTAGTGGTTATAGGAAGCTAGAACCCTGCAACAATATTAGGCAAGATTTTGACACTATATTTTTATTAAATAGGCTACTTTTCATTAGAGTAAAAACATCTCTTACACAGAAACAACCACACGATGGCGACAGAGTGGAGCAGTACTGACCCTCTGTGGGCCACGGTTTTTACACAAATTTTCTCGGTCACAAAAGTGCAGGTGCAGATCATAAAATGCTTCGGTTCCTTTACAGACACTGTGCTTCTGCATTTGTGCAACGACTCTTATTTCACTACTATAGCCAGTGAACCTTAAATTAAACAAAACAAAACAATGTATACAAGTATTATTTATTATGCCATTGAGTTTTGCAACCCGCAATGGATTATTACATGTTTATGTATTTACGTGTAAGTATGTATTTATATATTTAATATGGACATAGGCTTAAAGGAGGCGTTTTAAAGGGTTTAGAACCCAGAAATAAATGTTAAAATGTGTAGGCAAAAGTAAAAAGTTGCATACATTCGGTTACATAAGACAGGCCCAATGCATGTAATGTCAGTCTGTAGTTTTCAGTCAGAGGGAACCATGTGCACGCATAATGAAAGAATCCTGTTTTGATTCTGTGGTATATTAAAATGGGTCACAATAGCCTGTAGGCCAAAATCATCTACAGGAAACGAAAGCAATTTATTCTTATTTTAGCTTTGTGGACACGCTCTGCTAGCCTCTCGTCGCTCCCCAAACACAATAAAAGCCACAATGGGGCGTTTGGTTTCCTCTCTTGGCGAAGGGCCAGGTATGTTTGGCTTGCACTATAAGTTTAACAGTGTTTACGTAGCAGTAGCCGTAAAATGAGTGACAGGAGAATAGAAAGAGGGATGAGACGTCTGGAGAGGAGGACCAAGTACTTTCGGGTCTTTTACTGTGAATCTTTGCGCTTTTGTGCGTCCTAGACACGCCTCCAGGGGTCACCTTGGAAACCACGTCTTTTACTGCTGCCCAGCCGTATTTAAATGCCGTTTTTTTGGCTCCAGAGATGCGCAAGAATATTCAATGCCAAGAAGTGGACACAGAAAAAGGTTAACAACTAAACTTGTGCTGTATTCTGGAGAGGTAATGCCAAGTTGCATGATGGAGGAACAACTGCGCCAAATTGTGGGTGAAGATTTGCATAATGCGCTAATCAACACGTTGACAGAGCGCATGCGGGGGTTAGAATCTGTCAAACTCTCCCAGGATCACCGAAAGGGAAGAGTGGGTGGATGCACGGAAGCAGCAGGTAGAGGCGGGAGAGACGTGGATGGGAGCCGAGCAGCAGAGACGGTGGTGATGGAGCAAGACTCGAGCGAGAGAGGGAGAGACGACGGGGAGAAAGTTTGGATGCGTAAAGTTTTGGGGAGCATGAAAAAGTTGACGCTCTACTACCTTGACAGAGTGACAGCGTGGAGGGAAGTTGTCAAAAAGTGTGAGTGTAGTAACCCCGACTCGCCACGTGAGGGGAGTAAAGGACGGCACGCGAGTGAAGAAGGTACAGTAGTTGAAAGCAAATTGTTGAGTGTTAATTTTACATTTTGACATTTTATTTTAAATATTTGTTTTCTGGACTTGAACACATCACACAAAGCAGGGGTCCACAACCACAGGTCCAGCACCAAAGCAGACCACTGGCGTTCTGGTACTGGGACCCAGAGAAAAAATATTATATATCTTTATTTTAAAAAAGTAAAACTACTATAGTGCTACTACTAGTGACAATAACCTAAATATAGTGCAAATTAACCAAAAAAAAAAAAAAAAAAAAAAAAGGTTAAACTATGGTTCAGAGTCCTTTTGAGCATAAGAATCCTTTTGAGAAAAAAAGGTTGGAGGCCGCTGCAATAACGTGTTCAACTACTTTTTATAGCCCATTGTGCAATTACCACATCATCTAAAACTAGTACAGTGCACTAGACTGCTTTAACTGTTTGTTGGCTGATTGGAGCACTTCCTGTATTACCTCAATACAGGCAATACAAGGTGTTTTTTTTTTTTTTTTTTTTTTTTTTTTT